GAGACAATGTGCCTGACAAAGGGTTAATTTCCAAAATATACAACTCAACATCAAAAAAACAAACGACCCAATCAAAAAATGAGTAGAAGACCTAAACAGACATTTCTCCAATGAAGACATGAAAGATACTCAATATTGTTACTTGTTATAGACATGCAAATTTAAACTACAATGAGTATCACCTCACACTGGTAAGAATAGCTATTATCAAAATGTGAGAAAAGGGAACCTTCTTACACTATTGGTGGGAGTGTAAATTGGTACAACCACTATGGAAAATAGCATGGAGGTTCCTTAAAATACTAAAAATAGAGCTACTATATGATCTAGCATTCCCACTCTTGGGCATATATCTGGAAAAGATAAAAACTAATTTAAAAAGACACATGCATCCCAATGCTCATAGTAACATTATTTACAATAGCCAAGTCATGGAAGCAACCCAAATGCCCATTAATAGAGGACCAGTTTAAGATGTGCCCCCCTTCACAACGCACAACGGAATATTACCCAGTCATATAAAAGAATGAAATACTGCCATTTGCAACAACATAGATGGACCTAGAGAATATCATACTAAATGAAGTAAGTCACAGAGAAAAAGACAAACATTATATGATATGACTTATATGTGGAATATAAAAAATAATACAAATGAATATATATACAAAGCAGAAATAGACTTATAGACATAGAAGACAAACTTATGGTTACCAAAGAGGGAAGTGGGGTGGGAGAAGGATAAATTAGAATAGGGGATTAACAAACTACTGTACATAAAACAGGCAAGTAACAGGATTTACTACGTAACATAGAGAACAATACTGGACCTCTTGTAATAACCTATAATGGAAAATAATCTGACAAATATATATATACCTGAAGCACTTTACTGTACATCTGAAACTAGCACAATATTGTAAATCAACTATGAACTCCAATGAAAAATCAACTAACTTCAATGTTTTAGAAGTCATGCAAATAAAACAGTCTTTTTGATAGAACCTCCAAGAAGCACTTCAACAAAACTGATACTAGGGGAGATTAGATGCAGTGTTATATTTCAAACTGTAGAGGCCAAAAGTCTTGGAAAGTGAAGGTTGGGGTAGTCTCCAATGGCCAAAGTATCACCATCTGCCAGCCACTGTTATAGAGTAAAACACATCCTAGATAGTGGACTAAAGATTATCACGTTCCCTGACTGATCATGAATATAAGGCAGGGACCCATCTTAACGTGCTGGTCCCTGTCCCTTTGGCCTCCCAGGCCAGGACTGAGGGTGCCACTGTTTTGTTTGGGTGACAAATCACGGTTGGATTTTTGCCTGATATTTACAGTTGACCTTGAGGGGAGCCACACAAGCCATGCTGACTGCTGGCCAACCAAGCCAGCCAGCGTGCTTCTATTACCTACACCACATTCAAATCACAGAAGCCAGTGTCAGCACTCACAGGCTGCTGGGCTGGTTTGAATGCCCAAGGAAACCCACAAAAGAGGCTCATATTTACTCAGGAAGACATCCACATCATACAAGTCAACAGTAAGCGCTCAGCTATTTTAGGGTGAACCTGCTCCCCTTTTCACAGCTGGCAGGTCCCCACCCTGTACAAGAGAAGAGTCTTTGGAGAAAAGGAAGGATGATGACTAGGAAGGCTTTTTTTTTTTTTCCTGACAGAAGCAGACATGGAGTTCTGCCTACTTGTCTTCTCTGAATTGGCCATTTGCCTTTCTGAAATGAACATTCTGTGCTAACTTCAGAAAGAATGTTGGCAGGCTCAAGGCGGGAAGGGCTGAAACGGTCATACTTGGATGGCTAACACTTTCCTGTCTGAGGACTGACATAGCAGTGACCTCCACTCAGCTCACCAGCCAGGAACCAGGGTGGCCACAAGAAAACGAGGTGCTTCCTCCCCTGGGAAACAGGAAAGGATATATGAAGCTGTGCTTGATGCAAGTAAAGCATTATCTAAAGACGTCTTAGAAGCAAGAAACTGGGGAGCCAGTATGACTAATTTATTTCTTCACTATTCTCTTGAAACAATAGTATCTACAGAGAGGTCATATACTGAAAATCGCAGGGGAAAAAAAAAACTCTTCCATTATTTCTCTCTGAGAGTATGAGTAGCAGAGTAGAAGCACAAAAAGATGTTAACAAAGCACGTTTTAAGATACCCAGTTCCCAAATGTCAAAATGCTTCTCATTGACAAATACTTGACAAGACATCCAAGCCTAAAACTCTGTCTTTTGTTTAAGCTTCACCCAACTGCAATAAAACTCAGTATGTGTTAAAGGTCTATTTCACCTCAGCCAAACAATTACCTCTCTCTGTCTCCCCCTCACACGGTACCCTCCAAAGAAAACAAAACAAAAAAAGCCAAACTTGAATTTTCTAACCTCATTATCCCAAGCCTTTGTATCTTTGAAGACAAAAGCATTTATCTTGATCGACAAAAAGGGTCCCATTTCAAAGCTCTGTCCCCCGCCCCGAACCTTGAGGATATAAATATTTGGACTGCAGTTTTCTTACATTTTAATAAAACAATGCTGGCCTCACCATGAGGAAGAAAATTTGTTTTATATTTCATTATCTCCTTAAAGCCAGCAGATCCTGTTCAGCAACCAAATTGCTAGTCCTTCTTTTTTCATCACAATGGAATTAAAAGGAAAAAAAGAAAACTCTGAAAGTAAAATGTCTGCCAACTGTAGTAAGGCCAAATTAATTTGTTTCCTCTGGTCCCACAGCACCTACTTTTTCGAGTGGGCTCTCTCTCCTTCACATAGGTCCTTCTAGATAATCTGTTCCGTTCCCACCTCCCTCCCCGCCCAGAATGGCAACAAACACTGATGTCTCTGGACACAACCAGCCCCTCGGCTGATTTATTAAGAAATGGACACAAGACCAAGGCCATCCAACTTGCTGTTGGCTAACTTCTACTCAGATCTATCTTCCTGAATACTTGATACAAGATCCAGACCACTAACAACTGGCAGCTGGGTGGTGCTGCAGAAGACTCCTCAGAGTTGCTTGGACAGCAGGAAATCAAACCAGTCAATCCTAAAGGAAATCAACCCTGAATGTTCATTGAAAGGGCTGATGCTGAAGCTGAAGCTCCAATACTTCGGCAGTTGATGTGAACAGTCAACTCGTTGGAAAAGACCCTGATGCTGACAAAGACTGAGGGTTAAGAGGAGGAGGGGGTGACAGGATGAGATGGTTGGATGGCATCACCGACTCAATGGACATGAGGTTAAGCAAACTCTGGAAGATTGTGAAGGACAGGGAAGCCTGGTGTGTTGTTGTTCATGGGGTTGCAAAGAGTTGGACACAACTTAGCAAATGAACAACAAACCTTATTAAGCTCCAATCCCCTCCAAAGAAAACCACACTCAAACTGAGAGAGAGAGAGATGGTACCAGAGTTTTGCAAAAGGACAGAATCACAAAGCTGTGGCAGAAATCTTAAGATGTAAGAGCTGGCCCCTAAAAGACAGAGAGTAAAACTTGTGCCTCACTTGCTAGTAAGAGTCCTGGTCATGATGTCTTCATCTCAGGATGTCCCTACCTCTCGTTTCGTTCAAATATTCCCTCTTCTGAAGCTATTGTAAGTGAGTTTCTGTTTCTAACACCCCAAACAGCCCTGACCAGGGCACAATCCAATCCTATTTCTCCCACTCCCTTTACTGTATTCTCTGCCCTTGTTATGAACATCTTTGGACTATTTCCCATGTCAGCCAGGTTCTTAATCTTGTTGCCTGCGTCTTCTTCCATTATATTAATTTATCATGTAATTTCAAAACTTCCCCCTTCCTCTACATTAGCTTAATTCTTAGCTAACCAACTTTAAGGATGCATTTTGTATGGATGTCTCTGATAAGAATGTTACATTTTTCAAACAGTCCTGGGTCAACAGCTCAAATCCACCGTCGTACAAATCCGACCAATCGTTCTTGGTTCTATTTTATGAAATTATGGAGGAGAAATCTACTCTTCTTTTACTGCAATACACATTGCATTTTTCATCAAAAATCGTATTGTCCCCTTCCATCTATTAATCCTCATGGGGTGAGGTGATATCAAGTCCTCTCACCCCCTGGTGGGTCCTCTTTATCTGATATTTCCCCCCAGTCTCATCCCCATTTCACCAAATTCCTACCCACAGTTAAGAGCTCAGCCTAAGCCCACCTTCCTATTGACATCTGCCAGGCCACACTCAGAGAGACACAGTTCAATGTAGGGGTTGGCAACACAGGTTTGCAATTAGACAAACTCAGGCTTGGTTTTCTGGCTTCAACCTTCATTGACTATGAATCCTTGGGCATGTTACCCAACCTCTCCACACCGTGATGTTTTCCTTATTTGTACGACCTGTGTGCAATATACCTAACTCTCAATGTTGTTTTGCAACGAAGTTGATTGCATGTAAAATGCCTATCACACAGAAAGAGCTCCACCGGTGGCATTTTATTTTCTTTCATTTCTTCATGTATACCAACTTCTCCTTTCTGAACTTTGGGGGAGGTTTAGTAGCTCAGAGCATGAGCTTGGGGGTCAGACATCCTGGCCTCGCAGCTGGCTGTGTGACCCTGGCAGATCACTTCACTTCTGTAAAATGAAGGTACGAACAGCACGTACCTCATAAGACTGCTCATGAAGACTAAATGAGTTCACGCATATAAAGAGCTCAACAGCTGCTGGCATAAGGTCTCATCTTCACAGAGGGTGGCTTTTATTTGCTCAAGACTGAATACTTACAAGGTATCAGATTTCATGCCTGCAATTCTCTTCAACTAAGTTCACTTGTGGCTGAGCAAGCATGTCTTAAATTTTACAACTCTTGGGTGCAAAAATATGTTTCTTGGAAAGAATGTAAAGAACCAGTGAGAAGCAAAGGATACCAAAAAACAAAATCGTTATCCTGGTTATATTCTAGCAATGTCCTTAGGTTAAGTCAACATAAAACAAGTTAAGTATGGAAGCCCTCTGGGGGCTAAATAGCTACCTGATGGTGGGAGATGGGGACGGGCCTCCGGAACACTATCCACTCCACAATTTCACTACACGGTGGGGTCGTCAGAGAACCTGTGTACCGGTAATAGCTGCCCAGGGATGCAGGCAGGAGGTCCCGGAGGATGAAAGGATCCAGAAAGGTCTCTTTCTCTGTTTGGGAGAAGAGGGAAAAGAAAAGCACAGTGGTTAAGTGCTTCTAGGTGGCAGACACACAGTCAAAACCCTCGGCACGCGGTTGCCCCGTCACAAGTCATGTGCGTGTTTACATCCCGAGAAGCACAAGCATTTGGTGGTGGGAGCCATGGAAAACACAGCAGCGTTTCCCAGGGTGTGTTCTGAGACTTCACACAGCGCTGCATTTCATGAAAAACAGGTTCCATGGTGAACAACAGTGGGCAACACTGCAACCCCTCTCTCTTTCCCCAGGAAACAGACAAAACATTAGCACAGTTGAGTCATTGAGTCCTGCAGGAAAGAAACAGACGTGGTTTTGTTTACCTCATTCCTTTCCAATTTTTTTTCAGCTTTCATAAATTTTAATTAATCCACTGTATTTTAAATATTATTTCAATATTTAATCACAGTTAAAATTATTAATATTTTATATTTTTTTAACTAAGGCTTTCTATTTAACTTTTTATTTTATATTGTGGGGTGCAGTTGATTAATAGTGTTATGACAGTTTCAGGTGACTAGCAAGGGGCTCGGCCATACATATACATGTATCCTTTCTCCCCCAAACGCCCCTCCCCTCCAGGCTGCCATGTAACATTGAGCAGAGTTCCCTGTGCTATACAGTAGGTCCTTGTTGGTTACCCATTTTAAATACAGCAGAGTTGTGCTAAGTCCACTTTTCATGTTGGTTCTAATGTTTAACAATTATTTATTGAAATATAGTTGACTTACAATGTTGTGTTAGTTTTAGGTGTACAGCAAAGTGATTCAGCTATACCCACCCTTGTTGCATCATAGACCCCTTTTCCATCTAATACTTGTGAACTAACAATCAAGTGAACAAACTCTGGGACACCCATGTGATGAAATGGGAGAAGGAAACTAAGGCAACAGTAAACTGCATTTCCAGAGTTGGTAATGGTTTCATTATGGCTTCATCCAAGGCTTACTCAAATCAAAGTGAAACCAGACCAAGGCATGGGCCCTGAATTTATAAAATGATGGCCCAGAAAATAGGCTTCTTCTTTTTACAAAAGTGGAGGGGGTCTTCTCTTAGGTAGTGGAAATGCCATTTAAGCTGAGACCTAACACTGATACTGCACAATAACTCTGTGAGGAAAACAAGGGAGAGAAGAGCTCAGTTCCTATGTAGGAGAGCTGGGCTATGAGCCCAGGCACCTTGACACCAGAGCTTGCACAATTCTGACTCAGCTAAAGAAGCTAAAGTTAACTAGATGAATACTGAACAGGAAAAGAAGAGCATTTGAAGCTGCATGAACAGCATGTGCAAAGGTCCTGAGGCAGGAAGGAACAGCACAAGAGATTAGGGGACTATATTATAACTCTCCCCATTAGACATGGTAGATCACCTAGCTTCTCTCATAAGTCAGAGAGGGTTGTGACCTCTACCTGGCTATTCAAATGTCCAGTCTGGAATTCTTTGCTCAATCCTTTTAGGGCTATAATAAGGTCACTGTTGTTTAGTCACTAAGTCATATCCGACTCTTCTGTGATCCTAGGGACCGTGGCCCACCAGGATCCTTTGTCCATGGGATCTTCCAGCCAAGAATACTGGAGTGGGTTGCCACTTCTTCTCCAGGTGACCTCCCCACCCCAGGGACTGAACCCCCGTCTCCTGTGTCTCCTGCATTGGCAGGCGGATCTCTACCACTGAGCTGCCTGGGAAGCCCAGACCTGCTAACAGTTTGCCTTAGCTCCTTGATGGCCTCCTCCACAAGTGCCCCTGGACACATCCTGGGGACTGCAAGGCTCCAGGTAACTGCATGGACACAACCTGTGACTTACAGGAGTATTCTTTGCAGCCTCACACCTCCTCCCTCCTTTTCCTTTAGAACCACCAATACAGGTATTTGGGCAAATGTGTTATCCTTAGACTCAAAAGGTCTATGTAATTGAGGGTTAAGGCAAAAAACCAACAAAAATCAACTATATTAGAATAATGAAAATGAAAATTTCCTTTTGCTAGAGATTTGTTGAACAAAACCTAGTCTTTATTTCACTTTTACTACATACCAAGCACTCTTCTGAGTATATACATGTTGCAATTTAAACTGGTTTCCCAGGTAGTGCTAGTGGTAAAGAACCTGCTTTTCAACACAGAAGACGTAAGAGATGGAGGGTTCGATTCCTGGATTGGGAAGATTCTCTGGAGGAGAGCATGGCAACCCACTTCAGTATTCTTGCCTGGAGAATCACATGGACAAAGGAGCCTTGTAGGGCCATAGAGTTGCACAGAGTTGGACACGATTGAAGCGATTTAGCACAGCACACCACAGACATTTAAACAGCACTTACTGTATGTGTCAGGCCCTGTTCTAAGAGTTTTGAAAGACTGATTTGTTTAATACTTCAGAAAGTCCTATGAAGCATGACATCATGGGATTACTATTACTATCTCCAATGCACAGTCCTGTCATGTACAACCATGTAGCGGAGTTTGGAATCCAGGCTTTCATTAGTCTGAGGGCATCATCACACCCTTTCCCTTTATAAACCTTTAGAGTATGTACTTTGAATATTCCAATTTTCCAGATGTAGAATTTAAGGCACGGAGGGGTTAAATCAATAAGCACTGGGTCACTAGTGAAGAGTAAAGCGCCAGCAGTTATTCATGAGGCTCAGAACTTTGGCAGATTCTGCAAAGGTTTTCAGTTCGTTTTTTAAAGGGGAAAATTAAGTGTTAGCTAATAAATGCATCATAGGGTGCTGTAATCAAAACGACAAAAGCAATTTCTGCGGGATAGAAGGCCAGAAATAACAGAGTCACCCCTCTACCCGCTGGCAAATCTAGGCTTTAATTTAACCTGGTTACCAGCCACCTAATGACAGGGGAAATCTCTGTTAGCGTGCTTGGCCGGGACTGGCTTGGCTGGGAAGAAGAACCCTTTGGGCCTCTGCTTGCTGCCTCTGGACTTCCTGGGCTGTGCAAATAGTCAACACAAAGCCCCATGAAATACAGGGTGTGCAGGGTCTGGCATCAAAAACTGCCACCTTCATTTCTCTAAGCGTCGTACATAAACCCGGCATCACACCGCAGCACACCAACCTGCCTGAGGATCAAGGGCTCTAGACTGAAGGACAGGAAAATCTCCCGAGTTTTCCCCGAGGGGCCTGACCTAATATTAGGGTCGCAGTTAAGCACGCCCTATGCAGACAGGTAGTGACAGGACAATCCCTGTAAGCCCGGGGCAGCAGAGCCCCCATCGAAAGCACCCACCTCTGGGAAGAGGCTGCGGCTTTAAAGAATACAGACAGATAAGTCAGAAAAACCGGCCCCGCCAATCAGAGGTGGGTGAATTTCGCAAGGTGAATTTCACTGTTTCAAGGGAATCGGGACTCTCATATACATTCCTATACGGGCTCTTGAATTCGGCAAGGATGAATGGGAACTGTAGGCAGGACCACTGCTACAAATACAGCGGTGTTTCTCTGTCCTAAATCAACCAAAGGGCTTTAGACACAGGTTCCAATCTAATTCATTAGAAGAGAAGCTACCCTATGGCTCAGGGAACTCAGAGCTCTGTGGTGACCTAAACGGGAGGGAAATCCAAAAAAGAGGGGATGTAGGCATACACACAGCCAATTCACTCTGCTGTACAACAAAAACTAACAACATTGCAAAGCACCTAAAAATTAAAAAAAAAAAAAGGTGCAGTAAGATGATTGGTGGGGCAGATAGACCTAGTGAAGGACAAAAAAGGGAGGGGCTTCCATACTTATTGTTACCACCACTGTCACTACTGTTAGAACCCCCTGGGTCACTAGATTCGGGAACCCAAGAACCCTTTCTTCAAACCCCATCTTACACAGGAGCCAGGCAAGTCAAACAGCCAGAGTGCAGCCACCAAGGTTGAAGCTGAGCTGGAAACCCCAGGGACACTTGGAAAACCACCCGTGTAGTCCAACTCTTTAATTTTACAGCTGGGAAAAATAGGAGACCAAAGAGGAATAATGAACCCAAGGTCAAAAACTTAAGGAGAATACAGAGGATGGGACTGGATTCTTTCTTCAAAGATACCACTGAGAATCAGAAACACTTAAGTCAGTGAGCAGGAAATGTCACGGAACGCTGAAAACTTCATCAGCACCTTCACTTCTCCATTCCTACAGAAACTGGTGAAACGAGCAGATTCTCATTCTACTGGGTTCAGATCCCAACTCTTCCATCTGTGAACTGTGTGATCCTAGTTACTAAACCTTCCCAGGCTGTTGTGAAGATTAAATAAATCAGTATGAGAATGGAATTCAGAAAGAGCTGGAAACAATAAACATCTCATAAACGACAGATACGATCCTCACTCTAATTCTTACTACTTGTATTATTACTATTATTATTATTACTCCTCTAAACTACTAAGCCTATACTTAGCCATGTACTTCCTTGAATGTTTCTGCATGTGTTTTCTTTTTTTTTTTTTAACAGAATTACTAGTGCCTTAAAGGTACATCATGTCTGATATACAGTGCTCCATCGGTCTGAGCACTGTAGGTTACAGTTTTCTTTGCCAAAGCTCTAGCATGAGCTTCAGAATTCAATAGCTGTGTGGCCTTAGGAAAACTTAACCTCTCTGAGCTACTTCCCTTATCTGTAAAATGGGAAAACTGAGGCTATTTACCCCTCAGGAGTGACAATTAATCAGACTAACAAACATGACGTTCTTATTAGCACAGTGGCTTGCAGCCGAGACTACTTTGTGTTTTAAGCCAGGGACTAGCAAATGTTTCCGAGATGGTGCCAGACAGTAATATTTTAGGTTTTGCAGGCCAAGAGGCAAAACCAAAGATGGTATATAGGTAGCTATATAACAAACACATTTCCACGACTTTATTAACGATGTTCAAAATACTAGCAACAACTGAGGACGGTTAAAAAAATATACATCTGCTAAGGGGAAGAATGGAATTCTTTAGGACTGGGGAGAAGGCAGGAATAAGGTTTTGCTTAATTAAGGTTC